ACTCAAACGATCGATCGAGTTCCTGAAAAACGGAAAGGGCGATCTCCACCACTAACGCCACTGGATTCGACTCCCGCGAAGAGGTCGTTCAGTGCCCCTCTTCACGGTCGACGAATCGTTCATCTCAGGTATCTGGCTGTGGGATTGTCTGCGTGCCAGAATCCTGGATGTGGCAAACCTCTGGCGCTCATTGATTGCGTTGAAGAGAAGAGGTACGACCTGGGCAGCGTACTTGTCATTCCGTGGCAGCAGTGTGGGATGGAGAATTTTATAGATACAGATAGCCCTGTAACTGCTCAACACCCTGGCCCCCGTGCTTCCACAAGCAACACCAAAGCTGCTTTGGGTAAGTGCGTTTTTCAATCTCATAAGATTTATTCATGATATTTGCGAGTCATTGCCACCCTATGGCTATGGAAATGTATGAGCACACTGTATGCGCGGCGGCCGCGAGCGTGTGTGTTTGCATAGACCTGCATGTTTGTGCATGTGTGCACCATACGCATGTATGAACATGCACATGCATATGCGCTCATGTGGACGTGCCCTCGCACACATACTATACACACGTGCATGACCGCTCCCAGGGCATGTTGGTGTGACATGTGTATGCGGGCATCTCCACTCATGCACATGAGTGTGCACATGCATGTGGGTGGGTACGCACACGTGCGTGAATGTATGTGTGTACGCGCGCGTGTGTTCTATTGCGTGTGAGAGCGTGCATGTGTGTGTGTGCGTGTGTGTGTGTGTGTGTGTATGTGTGCACGGATGTGTGTGTCGATGGTGTTCATTTTTGTGCTGGGTGAACACTCTGATCCCTAAACCGCGATACCGGAGCTCCCAAGCTACAGCCTCAGATTGATTTATAGTTCATCGTTGGGAATGAGTTCGCTGCTCATGATGCTGTTGCGGATGTTGCGGCCCTAGCTGAAATTGTCGAAGCTCGCCCTGATGCCAGTATCCTGTAGCACTCTGTCACTTTTGCATCAGCATGTTCGGCGATGGAGTTTGCAGAACATCAGCAAAAGCGGCTGGCCACCCTTCAACCGTTGGTCCAAGCAACGTGCTTCTCTAAATCAGTTGCAGTGCGGGCAGCTGCCAGTGGGTTGGTGATCAAGCACTTTGTCTTGTCCTACGAACGAAGTGGTGAGCCAGCCATTTCCAGACTGATGAAGGAGCAAGTCAGAGGTAAAAAGCGGGTGACAGTCTCAAGGAAGATTATATTAGCGGTGGCTGAACACCTAGCGAAGAACCAGTAGCAACCCAACTGTAAGGAACGCCCTGTGGCACAGTGCTTCACTTGTTTGTGCGCACCGTAAAATACCATCATTTTCGCCAGTGTGGGGACACGTTCTAGCTCGCATAGTTGAAGAACAAGAGGACTCAATGTTGTCTGATTCGTTCCAACATGTCAGCTTTCATTGTAATTTGAAATGGGGCTGTGCTAAGCGCTATCACAACTACATGTACATGTATCAAAACCAAGTACCAACAGGAGAGTAAGCATGGAGAAAAGTACCTATCGATAATGCGTGCACCCAGGGTTTTCCGGCAAATTCACTAGTTCAGCTATTCCATCCTTGTATTGTTCTGAACGCCGAGGGCTCTAGTGAGTTAATGCAACACCTAACAGCCAAAAATCCAATAAGTTATGACCAAAGCAGCAGCAGCAGAGAAGTACAAGCAATATAGATACGTGAATTTGCCAATTTTAGGCAAATTTTGACAGTTTTTTGGATTTTTCTCCAGAATATGCACGGTGACCCCTATTTTCGCCGCGGTAAACCTGTTCCAACCCACTTATAGAACGTATTATTTTGAAGTATCCACATATGGGGCAAACTCAAAAATAAGCTGCAAAAAATATTCAAAGTTTCATTTTTTGCGTCTTTTTGTTCTTCTCCAGGAAATGACGACCTGGATCCCATCGTCAACCACAGTGTACATTTTTCGGTGTTGATATCAACTTAGTCAATACCTCGAACAGTCTGTAAAATTTTATGTTATATTTTCTGTCCTAACTGATGTTATGGACGATTTCTCATCAATTTCGGGATTTTGTGTTATTTTGTGTCATCAAGGAAAATTGTGTTTTTGGCAAGACCTATTCAGGCAATTGAAAAACTGATGTGACTAAGCGAAAATATAAGGCTGTACCTATTCAAACCTGTTGTCAGATTGGGCTGATGTTGAAATTAAATTTTTGGGCCTAACTGTCCCGAACCCCCTTAAGGCAAAAATTAAATTTTCACCAGTTGTAGTCTTCGGGGTGCTGAGTCGAATGGTCTTGGTCCGAGGAAGCTGAGACGCTCCCTTCCTACTTGAATCCCAATCGAACTCGCGCACTTCCACCGAAACTGGGTGACTGCGCCCTACTAGATGGGGATTTGTATGCAAAATGTCACTAAAAGCGCCATTTCGTTCTTATAAAAGCACGGATGACCGCGATTGGCCCATATGTTGTAGTCTTTTGGACGCTGAGTCGACTGGTTTTGGTCCGAAAAGGCTGCGATGCAGCGTTCCTCCTTTATTCCAAATCGAACATGGTTGAAGAAGCGGTCACGTGCTCCTGCGTACACCAGTCACCTGGTCACCGTGCCTGCAGGGTACAACTTACTAGCCTGTTTGACCTTTTTTGGGTGCAGTCCTGTCACTCGAGTTGAACTCGAGTTGAACCTTGGTGTGAAAGTTGTCACCTGCTGGCGTGGTGACCAGGTGATTTGGGCACCCAGGACCACGTGACCGCTTGTTCAACCATGTTCGATTGGGAATAAAGGAGGAACGCTGCATCGCAGCCTTTTCGGACCAAAACCAGTCAACTCAGCGTCCAAAAGACTGCAACATATGGGCCAATCGCGGTCATCCGTGCTTTTATAAGAACGAAATGGCGCTTTTAGTGACATTTTGCATACAAATCCCCATCTAGTAGGGCGCAGTCACCCAGTTTCGGTGGAAGTGCGCGAGTTCGATTGGGATTCAAGTACATGTAGGAAGGGAGCGTCTCAGCTTCCTCGGACCACGACCATTCAACTCAGCACCCCGAAGACTACAACTGGTGAAATTTTAATTTTTGCCCCTTCCCCTTTAATGCCGCTAAATCCGTGCGTGTTGTATTCGGCAAACTAACTTGACCCCGCCCAGACTCCTGCCCCAGCACTGCGTGTGGATGCTGCAGACCTATGTGACTGTCCCTCGACTACCCACCGCCATCTAGGAATCACCCTGGATCCCCGCCTGTCCTTCTAGACCCACATCAATAGTGTCACCTCCAACTTTCGTCGTCGCGTTGTTCTGCTATCCTACATGTCACCCAATCTGACCCCTGCTCTCATTGCCCGCCTGTACAAAGGATATGTCCGTCCCTCCATCGAGTATGCTTCACCTCTGTGGAATAACAAACTGACCGCAGGGAATATTGACACTTTGGAACGATTGCAAGCACGCCTGGCCAGATGTGTGCTTGAAAAAAACACTCTGATGTTTTGTGACTATATCCACTGATAATACTTCGGAGATGCTGTTGGTGCCACAAATTGTATTGATTTCGCCTCATGCAATTGCCTATCTTCAACCCTTCATATCTGAGTGGTATCACTTTGGATTTCAATAAAATTTTCTGTGTGACCTTGTGATACCCACCACCATCGATTACCGATGATAAACCTGGAAAAAACGCGATTTCAAAAAAATGGAGTGAAGTACCAGTACTGAGTCCTACACTGTAGTAGCGACGTGGTCTAGGGCTAGAGCCTAGGCTAGAGGCTAGGGCTGCACAGGCTATGTCAGTATGTGCATGTCCACGACGCTTGGCGCATCCATGACTCACGAGATCGGATTTCTAGAGCATGCTAAACCAAAAAAATAATGTTTTCTGGGGAAAACATTTTTTGTTTTTGTTTCGCTGCTTCGTTTTCGAGATCTCGCTGCATGCTGCAGAGTGCAGTACTACTGCTTGCTATGTCGGCTGTTCGCAGTTGTGTGTCCTGTATACATGTAGTGCCTAGGCCTAGTGAGTACTAGAGGGACGGCGGTTGTCGGCACTTGGTTGAAGACCAACGCTGATACCAACGTAATGTTGCGTTGTGCTTGTGAAAATGTTTCGTTTGCTGGAAAAGAGGGTTTACCCTCGGCTCGCTTGGTGCTCGTAGGCTGCATCTGGGGAGACGCTAGTCGGCCAGTGACAGCTGGTGAAGAATGTCGGATCACGGCATAGGTGGATTTCCGAACGGTGCCGGCTGTGTCGGATGCGGCGACAGAATACCAAAGTTATGTGTGTCTCGGATGTACTATTTCCTGACGTTCGCCATGCTGGGGACGTTCTGGATGCTCTTGGCGACCTTCGCGCGCTATCTTGGACTGACGGCGACGCAGGCGGGCATCATATCGGGTGCGCGCCCGCTCGTGGCCGGTGTGGCAGTGGCGGTGTGGACGCACATCGCCGACCGATTCCAGCGTCTGAAAAAGCCAATTCTGCTGCTGGGAGTGACGTCGCACCTGCTGCTGAGCGTGGCGATCGTTTTCTTCAAGCCAGAGTTTAGTTTAGATTGTAAACCTGATCACAACCGTACGGACAGTACTAGTGGATTGCAAGCACAGTTTTTACATCCTTACTCAGACACTGTACCCAGTGCAAGTACGCACACAAGCACAAGCAGCAGCAGCTCCACGCACAGTATGACCGCTGGGTTTGGTTCGCAGATTGTTAACTACACGGTGCCGTCGGCAAACTCCACAGCAAACTCCACAGACGTGGTGGGTTGCAGGGACGTGCTCGCGGCCCAACCCACGTCCGTCAAGTACGGAGCACTGAGGCTGACGCTGTCGCAGACGTTTGCCGTGCTGCTGTCGCTGGTGCTGCTCAACGAGTGCCTGGGCGCAGGCATCACCAGCATGGCCGATGTCGCTACGTACGCGCACCTGGGCAGGGAGAACTACGTCCTGTTCGGCTGGATTCGCGTGTTCGGAGCGGCCGGCTGGGCACTGGGCATTTTCTCGTTGACTATGGCTGCCGAGTACTTCAACGCTTCGTCCTCTTCATCGTCGTCGTTGTCATCGTACGATGTTGATGACAACCCACGCGTACACCTCTCCGGTAACTACCAGCTGGTGTTCTCCATTCTGGCCGTTATCCTGTGTCTGAGCTTCGTCACCGGCGCACTGTTTGAGTTCACGGAGCATGCGAGCAGCCTGGCGCGTACGGCGCTGCGCAAGACACTGCAGCAGGTGCTGACGCCACGCATGGTCCTCCTCTCTGTCGTGATCGTGCACTCGGGCGCTGCCATCGGCGTCGGCCTCTCCTTCCTGTTCTGGCGCATCCAGGACATCGGCGGGCGGCAGTCGGTCATGGGCGTTGCCTCGCTCATATCTGCCGCCAGTGACGTGCCCGCGTTTATCCTTGCACCAGCCGCCATCCGCCGCCTCACTGCCGAGAAGGTTCTGCTGATCGGCATTGTGTGCCAGGTCGTGTACTTTGGCGGTGTGGGTCTTGTCACGCAGCCATGGCAGGTGCTGGTATTTCAGCCGGTGATGGGCGGCATGCATGGCTTACTGTGGGCCAGCGTGCAGGCTATATTCGTACCACTCAGCAGCCCCGGCACGGAGTCGCTCATGATCGGTCTCCTGCACACTCTCATGTACGGACTGGGCTATGCGCTGGGGAATTTCGTCGGCGGCGCGCTGATTGATGGGGTCGGTAGCCAGTGGACGTTTCTTGCCGTTTGCTTTTCCTCCGTTGCCATATTCCTTCTTCAACTTGCGTCCATTTGCTATTTCGGCGATGTTCCATCACCGAGCGCCGACGGATTTCATCGCCTGGGGAAGTCCCCTGTGAATTTTCATCCACTCGCCGGAACAGACGAGGGAGATGGAGGAGAAGAGAGCGAGGAAGTGTATGAGTCGACGTTCTCGGCCAAGTCTGCAGCCTATCCCTAATGCCCCTGGGTGTACTAATAGCACTGCTGCTCTAGAAAAGCTATCATGTTGTATCCGTTGTTGACGTTGAAGCTAGCACCGCAGTGTCCTCTTGTGAAGATGGCGTTTGATAGTCTCATGAACGGGTACCAGATCTCCAGCAACTCATCCACCGTTTACTCAGTCTCAAGATTCTAATGCTCACACCGGATAATCATTTTGATCTCTGGCGTATCCCGCTGAATTATTTTGCTGTTAATTTATGTTACCGACTGCGTTGAGTTTTGAACTAGGCCGCTTTGGAAAATTTCTCGAATTTCGATTGCTTTTCATGCAGCCATGTTCCGTAATTTTTTCAATTTTAATCCTTGAAGAGTAAGGTCTGCTCTGCAATAGCTATTGCATTTGAAAACTTCTCTAGCACCTTACCTAGATGTGAATTCGGCGAGACATTCAATGTTGTGTTGTGTGCAGGTATGTGCAATTTTGATGGTCCCACATCACCCATGTGTTGGTAGGTACTAGGGTAGACCAGTCTACTGAAGTATGTAACATCTTACTAGTAATTGTTTTGAAGTAGGTCAATTATTGATCAAGTAAACCTAGCTGAATTTCTGTTACCAGTTAGCATCACCCAAGTGCTGACAAGCACTCAACACAAAGCTGTCCCCATCCGCAAGAAGGGGTATCGTGCATTGCACCACGGTGAGGAAACAAATCGAGCAACGCAGGGCTGTACGATTCGGCTATGCAGGAAGCTGCTGCTGATGGTTGCCCGTCGTTTACGGGTGCTGTAAAACCGGAAAGTCTAACGATCAAAAATTTTAATGCTTCTGTAATTTTGGCATGATTACGAGCAGAAAGTTTAACGTTGGCTAGCTGGCCACCCATCTGTATGCGCATCTTTACACAGACCTCTAGCGATAACGTTTTTTTTTTTAAACGAAAAAGAATTAGTCGTTAAAACGTTAGACTTTGTGTCTCGTTAGACTTTCCGGTTTTACAGTACGTGACGGAATACAGGCTTCAAGTACTCAGCAGTTTTCAGGTGAGCTGTTTGACGCCTCAGTGAAGCATCAGGACAGAAAGTACAGTCAGACCTCGCTTAAAAACCGCATACCGGTACATTCGTTTTCCACAGAAAATATCCGGATAGGCGAGGGAACCTTATAATTGAACACACATACTGTATGTATGTATGTATGCATGACATATGCTGCAAATCGGCAATCAACGATTTTCTTCCGGATGGCGAGGGATCCGGATAAAAGAGGACCGGGTAAGCGAGGTCTGACTGTACAATGTTAATAGTCAGAGCTTTGTCATGGAGGAATATCTAACGTACATCAGGTCATTTTATTAAAGTAATGCCAATCTCAAAATAGATAGGCCTCGCAAAATGGGGTTATGGAATGTTGTACATAATCAATATGATCCGGAAGCTCTGAGTCAGAAAATTCAACTTTAATAAAATGCAAAGAGCACCACTATGCTGCATGTTTAGTACATTACCTTAATCATAATGAACTTGAAGTAAATAGGGTGTATTCAGTTCCGATTCAGAAAAATTAATATCTCCTTTTCAGA